ATACATAATATAAATTTCTCTGCTTAAAAACACAATTAATTTACTTACATTTTCCTTAGTCTTTCTTCCTATTTTTGGTACATGTATCTTTTGCTGGCTTGGGGTTGCCTGATTATTAAAGAGAATCCCTCATCTCCCTTTATTTATATGTACATTTATAGGTTAAAATGCTTTTAGACTTAATGAGGAAGAGACTACGGTAAATAAGGATTTATGGAATTAAGTCAGGCAGTTTTAAAAAGGTAAGTAGAAGAAATGGTTATTGAAATCACTAAAGGATAGCATTGTCATAATAAGTACTAAATTGAATAATATAGGATGTTTGCCAAGATTTTGGAATTAGGACCTTTCCTTTGTCTTAGTAGGGATGAGCCTTTCCTTTCTATTTTTATTTAGATTTTGTAGTTTTCTTTTGCTTTCTTTTTTTCCCTTATTTTTATTAGTTTTGTTTGGGGGAGGACAGGACAGTGGCAAAATACACATGGACCTAGTGAATAAAACCCTTGAGTCAAGCTAAGTAATTTTTGAATATTAAATTTTAAATATCTTCCATTTAGAAATTCAGAGGACTAAGCAGAGAATAGTGATACATCCCTAAAATGTTGCCTATAGTCAACGAGAAGTAAGAAAAAGCAATACAATGGTTTGCTTTTAGCCACAAAACCATCGAACACACAATTAAAATATAAAATTTTTTGTAGACTTTTTCACTGGCATTAAATTTTGCTCTAGTTATTTGTTGTAGACTATTAGCTATTTTGACAAGCAATATATCTAATTAAAAATTATTTTTCACTTTATCAGATAATAAGGAAAGACAACCCATAACCTCACTCGATCAGATTAACAATTTGTTATTTCAAGCGTGAAATCTAAACTGTGATTCAAACATAATTATACATCAGACTTTATGCCATCCATCTTTTTTTTATAGAAAACAGTTCTTTGGAAAATAATTTCATTTGTTCCTATCAAATGCTTCCCTGGTTTGATAATTAATAGTGATTTTTCCATCCTCAGAAGAGACATTTTTTAGTAACCCAAATCATCCTTAGTTTGGTTTTAAGTGGCCCAGGCAGGAAGCTCCATGCAGCCAAGTGTTGAACTCCAGCACCAAGTTATACAGTGCCTGATAAAATAAAATATAGGGATGCTCAACTGGTATTTGCCAAATGAATGAGAAGTGAAATGGTGATCAAATTCAATTACACAATATTTTTGAACATAGGTTAGAAGTATTTCTAAAGTCCTATTTGCTTTTGTTTCAGAAGATCAAGCGGTTTCCTTCTGTCCTCTGGCTAATGTGTATGTCATGTTACATCACGAACAATGAATTCTTTTTTTTAACCAAGGGATGTGTATCTTATGATCAGAATTCCAAATTGGCAAACATATATGCTAAGGATGATCAATGCCAATTATCTCAAGTCATTACGATTTGGCATGATCTACTGCTGTTTTAAATAAACTGCATGACTATAGATGCACCCCAGTTTTATTTACTGGAGGTAAATAAAATATTTATTTTGGATATTAAAAAAAAACCTCTAACTACACATTCTCTGTGGTATATTGGAATGGCAGACTTGAAGCCAGACTATGTGGGTGAGGCCAGGTTCTACTATTCACCAGTAACCTGTGTGAGCCCAAGCAAAATACATAACCTCTCTGGTTCTTTATTGATCATTCAAAAGGCTGTTGTGAGATAAGAAACTATAAAGTACCCTACGTATATATGGCTTTTCCTCACTATTCAAATTTCAGGAGAAAATAGCTGAATTGTTGACTTTCCTTGGCCAGTGTCTACATGAGAGTGAGACTGTTTTGAAAAGAAATTAATGGAGAGCGAGACTTGGCACACATTCTCCTCGTTGCCAGATCTAGTCACGTCAGGATAATGCTTGATCAAATGCTTGCTTCCAAGCAGTTGGTTGTGCCGGAGTGGAGAAATTTCAAGTAAAAATGTTTAGAGACTAATTAAGTCAACTGCAGGGACCCACTTGGTTATCACCCTTCTGTGTGTGGTCCAACTCAAGACACACATTGATGCTCCCATTTCTATCCTCTTATGACTGGTCTCAATCTTTGAGCTCAAACAATACTGTGGCAATTTGCACTGGTTGTTAAGAGATTTAGAAGAATTAAAATAGCCATACCCAGAACTGTGTTATTTTGTGGCCATTCAAATAGCCTATACTCATTGACATTTGTCCCTGGCCACTGAGCTAAGTAATACCGAGGGCACTGTCACAGCAGCTGAGACCTCTAGTGGCCCTCAGGGAACCTTATCTACATTCCTGTCATTCATCCAGTGCACCTCATACTGGGGATTATTTTCCAGGGGGTACAAAAGACGTATTTAAAGGCATTAGTGTATCAATTTTACTAGTTGGTAAATAATATAAAACATTGTTTAAAAAATATTTAAACATATTATGGAGGAAAATGCAGCATTTACATGACTTTTTAATGTAAAATGTTAAGACTTCAAAAGAACTCCCAGCTTGGTATATTCCCAGACAATTCTGGGTTCACACCTTTGTTCTCTGCATTAGGTGCAGTTCATTGAAAAGGCTTAGGAAGTGCTACATAAGTGCATTCTGAGAGTCCCCAGTCCCCAAACTGCCTCCCTGTACAACACCAAGGTCAAAGATTTTTTAGAGGAGCATTTTCTTTTTTTCTTAGCTGAAGACTTTTGGCTCAGAGGGCCTAAGAAGAATTAAAGGGTAAGGTTTCCAAGGGATGTTCTAGAAAATTCTTTAAAACTAAAAAAAAATACCTTAGGATCAAGTGGAAAAAAGATTTTTAGGGAGGATGCTGCCAGGGGAATGTCTAGGATTCTGATATCAAGTGTTCGGGAGTGGTGATCTCAGTAGAAGGCCTAACAGACATACGAAAGGTAGGCATTAGTCAACTCTCAGGGCAATAAGACCAGTCCACTTATGCAGACACATGAATAAAAAAAGTTGAGATTCATCAATAAGAGACATTAGAAAATAATGTCTTCATGAGACTATATAAAGAAAATTATTTTCATAACTTATTTGCTATTCATCTAACAGCAGTTATACCTGTTTGACTTTGAAAAACTATATATAGAAAATCCAAACATTCTAAATTTACAAAAACTAATCAACATTTCATTTTAGACACTGAAATAAGTATGAGTAATGTAAGTATCAATGATTAATGATCATAAACTCTTAAAGGTTATGTTTTGAAACAAACATGAAAACCATTAAGAAATTCTAAGGACAGTGAAAAAAGAAACGTTTAAAATTATTTTTAGCAGTAGGGCTGCTTGGATATCAACTAAGACCAAAACTTGTTTTCTTATCTGAGATATAATGACCAGATTCTGTTAATAAAGAAATGTTATTCTTTAAAGGCTTAAGTTAGTTTCTAAATATTTGGGCTACTCTTTCCAGTGTTTTTTTTTTCTTTTAAAAATAGAATAAAATTTAGAATGTTTTTTTTTCTTCAAACAATAAATTGTGCTTTAAATTTGGTCCAGCATTTTCCTGACTACTTCCCTGAATTATGTACACACACGCGCACACACATGGACAAAGTGCTTTAGACTGAGGCAAAACCTGGCCATTCCTGGGAGATTAAGGAATATCGATTTGAAGTCTTAAGGGAACTTGGAAATAATTTTGTCTTGGTTTTTATTGGGGCAAAACTGAGACCAAGAGAGGTTGTAGAAGCTCATCCAGGATCACAGGTCTGGACTCAAGAGCCTTGATTGCCGTGAAGCAAAGTGGATTCAAATGACCTGAGTTCTAGCACAGACTGTACCAACAGGACAACCTCCAAGAAATGACTTAACTCCTCTGGAACTCACTGTTCTTAGTAGAAAATGCTGGAAGTGGCTTTCAACAGGGATAGTCCTGACCACCCCCTGGTGGGGGTAGGGGTCTGGAAATGTAATGGGATGTCTCTAGTTGTTGCAGTTACTGGAGGATACTACTGTCATCTGTGGCTCTGGGTTCTGCATTTGCATCCTGCAAAAGGAACAACTTCCCTCCACAAATGGCAGAGCCCTCCCTCTCCTCACACCACCCCATATTGAGAAATACTGGGCCACCCATTACCAGGCAAGGGTTCTTTTCACGGTAACTCATTTCCGAACCAACTCCATCTATGTAGGGGGTGGCAGTCTCACTTAAAGGGCTCTGCTTTTAAAAGTTTGTCAAAAGTCACTTTTTGGAATCCCCATTTTGGCATATCTGCATTCTATTTTTACATCATTAGTTAGAAAGGTTATGTTGGATACAAGTGGAAAATATAGTCATATTAGGTGGCCAAAACACAATTTTTTTTAAAAAAGAACTAATTTCCGTATGTGGAGTGCCATTTAAAACAAAGTTTAGTTGTACGATACAATCTTTAAAATAATTTCAGATTTTTTAAAAATGCATTTCTTTAATAGGCTGTGGTATGATATATAATTTACTGGCAAAATTTCAAGCTTAAAATCCAAATGTTTTGATATCTGGTCATTAAATCTTGCCTATTTCTATGATTTATAAATGAAACCACAATTGCCACAACTAGGCAGAAGCAAAAAAGAAAAATACACCCTATGAATTATATCACAAGTAAATAAAAATACTGTATTCCTTTAGACAAATGTACTTATAAGAGCTTTATAACTCAAAGCGAGATATGCGAGATGGTTTAAGAAGAGGTTGCAATTTTGCAACAAGAAGTCTGTACACCTCCTCCAGGCGGTAGCTGTGAAGGAAATACCTGTGTCTCAGAAACTTGTTTCCACGTGTTCGTGACACTTGCATCCAGGCCCCATTATTTACAAAGTTATGCATTTTGCAAGCTCGGAGTACCTTATTCCTCATCATTATGAATGCATGCAATGACATTTCATCCTTTCATGTGCAAATTCTAAAATTCGTCATAACATAAAAGTTAAAACTTGAAAATCTGCCTACAATTTGAAATGAAAGGATCAAAAATGTCAGACATTGCAGAATACTGGTTCCTAATAGAGCTCTCTTTATTTGTTCACTGTTCTTCAGTCATTTTTGTTTGTTTGTTACAAAATGCAGTCTTGACTCTTTATTTAAACAGTACTTAAACTAAACTGTTCATGCCATGCAAAAATAACATTTTATGCACTTTTTTTGGGAGGGGGCTTCCCATTTTTAGTTCACAGGCATTATTAACCACATTTTTAAGAAACAAGTTTGTTGTTTTTTGTTTTTTTTTTTATTGCTTTTGTAACTAGTCACATGCTGGTTTCACGTGTGGGACAATAACCTGTGTCTCCTGGGTTGGAATGAATTTCTGGGGCAAACAAGTGGTTTTCCATCTTGCACCCTTCTTGACTACTGTCTTTTTTGACCTCACCCACAGCATGGTAAATGTCCTGCCTACAGTTGTGACCTGTGTTCTGGGGGGAGGAAGAGCCCACACAGCCCTCTTCTCTTAAAGGGTCTCTTCCGTCACTAGGCTTATCTGCAAAACAATTTGGGCTGGAGTCCGCCTGCTCGTCCTGCCTTGCCCCTGGGAGCTCTAAGAAGTCTTCATCTTCGCCAGTATCTATTTCAGTGAAGCTCCTCCTCTCTCTTGAAGAGAAAGGAAACAGTTTCTGCTTGGGAAACCTAGGGGACAGCCCTTTGGAAGGTCCCTGACAGTGTGCTGCAACCTCAGCACCCAGCAAGGGTCTGTCTCCCTGAGGGGGGTTTTCTTCTAAGAGGATGGTACTGATGTGCTGTGGGGTGCTGAGCGAAAAGTCAGCCGTCGTCACCGGCAGAGGCCTGGCTGTGCTGGGCGGGGTCTGTGGTGCACTGCCTCTACTTTCCTTAAAGTTCACTTTGAGGGATCTGGACTTTAGCGGGTTGCTGCCTTTTAGAGAGCTCTTAGGACTGTCAGCGGCATTGTCAGACTGTAAACGACCGCGGCGCCCGCACTGGGAGCTGCCGGCATCGCGACTCCCAGTTATGTCGGCCGAGGCGTAGTCCAGCGTGCCCTCCCTGGCGGCAGGCCCTTTCTCTCTGGACAGGGTGAGAAATGGGGGGCCCCTGGCTCTTTGGTGCTCTTCTGTCCCAGGGAGGTCAGGTGGGAACTTCATCTGCAAGTGAGACGCGGAGGGTGGTGGCAGCGGGGATCTCTCGGTCTCGTTGAAGTCGGTGGCACAGCTGGTGAAGCTGTCGATGCTGGAGGTGCTCTTCATGTCCACGATGACCTCGGTCTGCGCCACGGCCAGCTGCTCCTGGGGGCAGACGACTTCTTCCATTTCTATCTCTTCTTCATATGCAGATGGCCTCTCGGGCTTTTCTTGGCAGTCTGGGTTTGGGTGAGAATGAGGCTGTGTCTTGGTGATTTCGTTGTACAGCATCTCCAGTTTCTGGGCACTCAGATGCTGTGGGCTGGAGGAAGACGTGTTGTTCAGCTGCTCGTGGGAGTCTTTTTGGCTAACCTCCTGGTACTTATTCTCGTAAGACTTGTTGGAACTTGTTTCCGACAGAGCCTTCCTGGCCCACTTCCACCGGCTTGGGGACAGGTGATTGTTGTCGGCTGAGTCCTTCGTATTGGCTGACTCTTCGGCCTTCTCAACAGCCACATCTATCAGTTCCATACTCCGAGCAAAGGCATCTTTCAAGTTCATAGAAACGATGCTTCCATTCCTTTTGGCCCGCTCAAGAGCCTCTCTCCTTTTAATTGCCTTCTCCTGGCGCTTCTGCTCCTTGTAAAACTCAGAAAAGTTGTTCACAATGATTGGGATGGGAAGGGCAATAACGAGAACCCCAGCAATACAGCACAGGCCTCCCACAATTTTCCCTAGTAGCGTTTTAGGGTAAATGTCACCGTAGCCAACAGTGGTCATGGTGATGGTGGCCCACCAAAATGATGCCGGGATACTAGTGAACTTGGTAGCTTCCTCATCCTTCTCAGCGAAAAATACCAGGCTGGAAAATATCATTATCCCCATGGCCAAAAACAGTATCAGCAAGCCCAGTTCATTATAACTCCGTCTGAGCGTGAAACCCAGAGACTGCAGCCCTGTCGAATGTCTGGCGAGTTTGAGGATTCTGAGGATACGCATGATTCGGAAGATCTGGACCACGCGCCTGACGTTTTGGAACTGCAGCACGCTCTTGTTGGACTCCGTGAGAAAAATGGTGACATAGTATGGCAAGATGGCCAGCAAATCAATGATGTTTAGCGGGCCCTTGAAGAACTTCCATTTGTGCGGTGAGGATAGGAACCGTAAAAGGTACTCCATGGTAAACCAGGCAATACACACAGCCTCCACGTGGGCTAATTGGGGGTTGTCGTTGAATTGTCCAAATTCGTCCTTTCCCTGAAGCTCCGGCAGTGTGTTGAGAGACAAAGCAATGGTAGAAAGTACGATGAACAGGATAGACACAATGGCCAAGATCTGGAAAAGAGAAGAAAGTCCAAGTCAGCAAATCCTCTTAGCTGCTTAACAGAAGGAAGACATATGTGCCAGTGATTCTTTAAACGATATCGAATGTTCCAAGTTATTTCAAGAATCTTATAAGGAAGTTTTCAACCTAAAATTCCCTAACTAATACAAATATACTTATTTAGAAGCCTAATGTACACTTAAATTCCAGGACCTAAGCAATTCGAAGAAAATCCATTCTCCCTCCTTGCCCATTGTTCTTAGGTGCACTTGTGTGGGTACCTACCATTTGGATGAAGGCCCCATATGACTGGAATAGTTTTGAGGGGAGTAGTCATCTCTCCTCTCTTAGTTATCTGTAATTTTTCTCTCTTAACCTCTTGGTTTGTGATTTCTTAAGTGAATTGTCATACATGCTGCAAAAGCTACATGGAACGATCTAGAAACTTCATGATCTCTAGAAGTTACATTCTACAACTGAAAACACAAATGCAGACCTATATATGGAGAGAGAATATGGCACTCAGCACAGCCATGATTCTCCTAAGAACAAATACTATTTATGTGGTAGGCACTGACTGACATCAGAACCAAGTCAGGACAGCCTTTGTCCTGGGATGTGGGGACTTCTGGAAAAGGAAGATTATGAGCTAACTTCATTCAGTCCAGGAAGATGTCATAAGGAAGAGCTTGGAGAATGTCCATGGTGATGTCAGCACAGGGCAGACATTCTAGGCAGAGGAGACAGCAGCACGATGTCAGGTGTGGAAGGAAAGAGGAAGAACTCAGAAGGAAGTAAGAAGAGGCCGGG